GTGCAGGGCTGGGTGTGCAGGGCTGTGCGTGCAGGGCTGGGTGTGCAGGGCTGTGCGTGCAGGTCAGGTACAGGCTAGGGCTGTTGTAGTGGAAATGTGCATGGCCGGCGGGCATGAGTCCAGGCTGCAGGCTGTCTGCAGGGACAGCCTGGCTCTGCCCGGCCCGGTGCTCTGCCTGTCCTGCTCACCGCCGCCCGCCCTCGGAGCCCGACTTGGTGCTGCAGCCCTGGCTCCTTTGCCGGACCCCATGGTAGTGGATTCCTGTTCTGAAAGTAGACGCCCTCGTGTTGGGCCCCAGGAGCCTGCCCTGCCCGCTCCACGCCTCCTCTCCTCCCTCCCTCCCGGCCCCGCCTCTACATCCCCAGTCAGGCTTAGCTGCCCTTCTCTCCCACGCTGCCCAGAAGCCTGTGTGGGGCTGTACAAAGCAGGCCTGTGTGCGGTGCAGGGCCTGGCATGTCCCGGGTGCAGCTGGCGGCTGAGCCCCCACACCCCAGGAGCAGATGGCGGACACCCCCGGCCCCCCACGCACGGGGGGCAGATGGCTCAGGGTCCTGGGCGGGTCCTGGGGCTGTTTCCCACCAGAGCACTGGTGCCCTGGCTCCTTGTGCGGCAGGGACGGTGGTCCTGAGGACTGCCCACAGCAGGCGGCATGCGGGCAGAGGGAAACCCTCCCTTCCAGGTGGGAGGAGCAGGGGTGTGGCGTGAGGAGCTGGAGGCCTTGGGGGCTGTCTGGCCTGGAGGGTGCTTCTGCCTCCTCCCCAGTCTACCCAACAGGGCGTCTGCTGCCCTGTGCCCAGGCCCACGCTGGGCCTTGCTGGGTCCCGGCACTTTAGGTACCCCATTTCCTGAACAGGCAGCTGGTGGAGCCCGGTTGCCGTGCCAGGAAACAGCCCGGGGACCAGGCAGGCCACTGTGGGAATGTGGGGTGGGGAGGTCAGTGTGGGTGAGGCTGTCCCCAGGAGACATTCACCCAGCGTCCGCTCAAGGGCCCTGGGGGGGGGCGGAGGGGAGCCAGTGCTGCCCACTGGCCTCAGTGCTGCCCTGTGTTGCAGGGTGAGTCTGGCCGTCTCCCCAGGTCCAGACACTGCTCAGGGCTGCCACT